GTTCCTCAGACATCCATGTTTAGGCCCCTAGATCCCTATCCAGAAGTTTCAAAAGTGCACGTCCATGTTTAGGTGCCCGTGTCCGGAAGTTCCTCGGGCGCACATCTATGTTCAGGCCGTAGCATCCAAAAGTGCCTCAGGTGCACGTCCATGTTTAAGCCCCCAGGTCCGGAAGTTCCTCAGCATCCATGTTTAGCTCTAGGATCTGGAAGTTCCTCAGCATTCATGTTTAGGCCGCAGCATACGGAAGTTCCTCAGGCGCACATCCATGTTTAAGCCCCTGGATCCCGGAAATAGAGTCTTAAGGCAAAATCTAACATGTTATTAGGAAATAAATGCCAAGGAAGCATCAGTAGTAGGAAAGAGGAAGTAGGCAGAGAAGGAGGATCCAATATGAAGTAGTGCATTACCTAACTGACCAGCACTCAAGATGGGGGCAACTGACTGTTGGTTGTCATGTGAAGGTCTTCTGAAAGCTCTGTGAACTGCTGCTTGTGGCAGTTTACCCAAGGATAGGAAGAAAAAAAAATAGAGTTATCTATTGGTTCCTGTCTCCCTTTGGTTAAAGAATCTTCCCTTAGAGAGCCTATGTCCCTCTATTTCTGAGTTGTCCATATTTAGGTCTGAATAGGTCTGTTTCTGTGTTAGTGAGCTTCACAACACTGTGACTAAAATACTGACCAGAATGACCTAGCAGAGGGAAAGTTGAGTTCAGCCCACAGTTCCTAAGGTTCAGTCCCTGGTCACATCCCACCTGCCTAGAGTTACCACCCAGTCAGTCCATTCAAACTAGGATAGACTGATTAGTTTATAACTCTCATAATCCAATCACTTTACCTCTGAATTTTCCAACATTAACACAGGAGCTTTTGGAGGACACCTCATATTTAAACTATAACAATGTCACATGTCTCTTTGGCAACAAGAAAGCCCAGAGTCAGGAGATGAGAGGCATGGCACAAGCATGAGGTGCAGGTCAGTGCACATGCTTCTATGAAATTGGCTGCTACCTTCACTGGGACAGATCACAGGGCCAGGTGCTGGGAGACAGGAGGAGACAAGAAGAGAATCCTTATTTTCATAAAATATCCCATTCTTATGTGAATACATATTAGTGGTTATACTTATGACATAGATGAATGCAACATTTTGACCAACACAATGTCCCCAGATATTTTTAGTTTTATATGCTCTTATTAATGATCATTATTCACAGCTATATACCTGCACAGCCATGATCAGCTGGAATATTGGTTCAAATCAGCAGGGCATTAGTAGCCAGACACATGAAACACAATAGGGTCCAATCTAACATTGTATTTATTTAGCTTCGTAGAAACATGCAAACAGGATTATATTAGATACAGCAGCCTCATCTCCTCAGGAGGCTGTTATCCAAGACACAACCTTATTTGGTTCCTGACAGAGTATTTGTGGTTGGCAAGGAATTAAAGCCAAGGTGTGCAAAGATCACTTGGCACAAAGAAGCCTCAGCCTTAGTTTCCTGTCAGTATTTTAAACCATTTTGATCACACATACCCTAGATCACATGCCAACTCCCAGGCTACCAATCTATGGCAACTCTACACATTCAGAATAGCCTATGAGCCATAAGGCAGTCACAATTTTCTGTGTTTACCTTAACTCTGTAGTTTCCAAGGAAACCATACTTCAAGGTCAATTTTCCCCCAAGTAGATTGAACCAGATCTAATGTCAACCTTTATTCCCAGTAATATTCCACCAAGTTAATGTAACTTACTTAGCCATTGCCCCTTTGTTAGCATGACTCAGGGCACTTAATAAATAGTCACCTAATTAATATTCACTTCTACCAGCAAGGTGGTGAGGGAGAGCATAGTCAAGCCATAAGTCATAAGTTTCAAATTTTAGTTATGAGCAAAAGTAAAAATATTAATTGGAAAGATTAGAAAAATAACTCTGAGGCAATCTCTCAAGCAAATGAAAAGAAAAACAAAAGGAAATTAAGATAAAAGATGAGAACTTGAGATTATTAGGACAGCAGATATAACATCAAAACAATAGGGTTTCAGAAAAGGAGAATGAAAAAGTAGTTAGAACATTATCAAAGAATTAACACAAGAATTTTTTTTTTCCCAAATCTGAAGGCATGAGTCTCCACAAAAGAGTTACAACTACTATCATTAAAAGGAAACGATTGTGTGCAGAGGAGTAAGGTCTGTTTCTCTATAAGTAGACCCCCAAAACCAATCTTGTTTTACATGAGTGTTACAAGGACTGAACTCAAGAAGACCTCCCATGTGCAATAAAACATGGCCTGCCGTATATTATTCTGTACAAGGAAGGCATTTAATAAACACGTTTGCATTCATTATAAAACATCAAATGGCTTTTCTTCTTCATATTTTTCCATTTGATCTGTGTTGATTGAGTGGCAGCAAAAACAGAATTCAGTCTTCATGTATCTCTTTTACAGCTTCTCACAGAGCAAGTATTTGAGGATCAGCTTTTCCAAACAAGCCAGTTTAATCTGAAGAGAACCTTCATGGTCTTATGGACAGAGCATCTTGGATTGAATGAGGCCAATTTGGAGTACAGTATAATCAGTAGCCTTTGATATGAGAGGATTGAGTTTAGCCCCATATTTATTTGGGGTGCTCAGTTCTGCACAAGGATTCCTGGTTTTACTGAATCCAGAGGAGCAGACTGTAACACTAAGAAATGTGTACCTTCCTTTTAAAACCCCAAATAATATGACCACAATCAACAAAACCCATATCAGCAACCATGCTTCCTGTTTAATCTCCCAACTAAATACAAAAAAAAAAATCATGCATCTTAATCACAAGCTATTTTAGTTGGCTAATAAATGCACAGTGATTGCCTCTGTTTATTTTTGTGCTTGGCTAATAATTAGCTCTTTTAGCCTAATTTGCTCTGTCAAAGTGGAGCCGCATGGCTTCAACACCCAGGACTAGTCCAGTTTTGTCTCTTTCTTAGAAGCAGAGAATAGGAAAAGAAGTCATTTGGTCTTGATGTAATGGACATATTTTACGGAGGAAGAAAGAGATGGAATGAATTCCCCAATCTCCTGAATCCTAGTTGCAGGACTCGTCATCATATTCTGGCTTGATTACTTTCCATCATTGTTCTTTCTGTCCTCTGTTGCAGACTTCTATTGATTCAGGATCTGTTGAGTAGTTACTTCTTTCTTATTCTTTGCTTCTTGCCCACATCCATGGAGAAATTGAGATGAATTCACTGAATAAAATTGCCTTCAGATTTAATCACAGAAAACTGACTTTATAATGCAAACGTGAAGTTCCATGCAGATCACCATGCACTGAGCTATATAGAGAACAAAATAAATAAAACAGTAGGTGTTTTTTTTAAAATGCCACCTTTCTCCTTTTATCCTTTGGGAGGTCTTTATGAGAAATGAGGTTTTGGTAGCATTATTCTGAGTTGATCAGTTGTGTCCCAGCATGAGAATTCTCTCATCTAGTGAGTTGGGTCTTCTATAATATTTCAAATGCCAAATGAATTTTTTTGAATTTAGTGGTACAGGTGTAGAATGTAACATGATTCTATCTTAAAAAGTAAATTCTGACACATGTCACAACAAGGACGAAACTCAAAGACATTATGATACTTGAAATGAGTCAGTCACAAATGGAAAAATACCGTATGATTCCCCTTTTATAAAGTACCTGTAATTGTCAAATTTAGAGAGACAAAAAAGATATAATGGTAGTTTCCAGGAGCTGGGGGTGGAGATGAGAATGGTGAGTCCTTGGTTTATGGTACAGAGTTTTGGTTTGGTAAGATGAAAAGCTTCTAGATATGGATGGTGAAAAATGTGAGAGGACAATGTGAACATCTTAAGACCACTGAACTGCATACTTAAAAATGGTTAAAATAGTAAATTGTATGTTTTATACCACAAAAAAAATATGTTACATAGCAGAAAAAGAGTTTAGAAAAGTGCACATTCGATAAATTCAGAAACATTTTCTTACATCCCCAGGAATCACCTAATAGAAATTGCTTCCACAAGTTAGAGAATCTCCCTCCTGCTGTAGATGGCCAATCGTGACATTGCAGCAGAACTTTATGTGTGAGAGTGGCTTGAGACCACACGTGGTCCATCTGGACCCAATCTCAAAGCCCCCTTGGCCCCCAGCTTCCTTCCCAATCTCTATATACAATCCTGTTCCTACCTCCACTTGAAACTTTTTTCCCTCCATTCCACCATGGTCTTCCTTTCCCACATATCCCACCTATCTCTACTCTCAGGGAAAGTGAAAAGCCCCAGGACCCAGATAACAAAGTTTTCTTCTATTTTGTTTTCAATTCTACCTTTCTCCGTGTGTTTCATTCCATACATTCATGAAGTCAGTATGAGTGTTTGGGTTATGAGTTTTCAATAGAACTAAGGGCATAAACTCTATAAGCATGCCAACCCTATAAGCATGCCATCTTTCATTCCAGCATGTCTCTAAGCATATACTTAATGCCACTCACATTTTTTGTCATATATTTTTCTCTGACTCTCTTACTTGGCAAGGAATGTGGGTACAAACTACACCAACGTTTGCATAGTTCACTCTCAGTTGGAATCCTTTGCCAAATCTCAATTCCAGATTCTCAAGACAGTGACCAATTGGCCAATCATGTGTGGCTGGGTAGGCAGGGATCCATGGTATTATCATGGGTAGTCATGTGGTAGGAGTAATGGACCATTCTCAAATGTGGGAAAGAAGTACATGTTCTTCAGAGAATCAGCAGTAAACTAAACCAAATTCTACCCAACAGCCTATTACATAGGATACTTCCCTACATCACATCTCCAAATTATTAATGTCTTTATTCTATATCTCCTTCAAAAACATGTGTAGTAATTGAGATGTTCCATTACTTGACTATGGTGGGGTTAGAGGTGCTCTGCTAGTGTTCCCTTGGTTGGTCCTGGTTCAACTCTCTGTGTGTCCCTCTCTTTCAGTGCACAGCTTCCTGTGGAGGTGGCTTTAAGAAGAGAACTGTCCTTTGTGTCCCATCAGAAAACAATACAGCTGAAGGCCAAGATGGTTGCCTATGTGATCATGAACCCAGACCCCCAGAATTTCAAAAATGCAACCAACAAGCCTGTGCTGGTGAGTGAATGGGTTTGTTGGGGTGGGATGGTGGGAGAGAACTTTGCATAAGTTACTCTGCATGATTCCACTGTGTATAGTTTTGTGTCTCCTTTGCTGAACATAGAATTTTAGTGCTGAAGAGGTTAGCCAGCAACTCTGGGAGCAAGCTGTCTGATTTGGTGAGGTTTGACTCTAATTCCTTGAGGGATTATCTCATCCATTTTCTTATCTTAGATCATGTTTATACTGATGTCATCCCATACAAATGGGAATTTCTTCTCTTTTTTCAAAAATGTCTGAGAAGTATTCCAGCCTTTCTCAGGAACCCACTCAAGTACAGAATGGTCTTCTCTATAAATCTAGTTCCACTAGCTTAGATCAGGTTCCCCAAAGATGACTCTGGGGTGAATAGATGGATGTATGCAAGGGATTCATTAAGGAAGTGCCCCCAGGGAAGACCATCATGGGAGTGGGAAAAGCAAGACAGCAGAGGGAGGAGGCATAGCCAAGATGTCCTTCCATGCACCTGAAGTCCCAGCTTTAGCCTGGTCTGCAAAGGAGCTCCAGAGTGTAATGCTGATACTTCTTATACCTAAGAAGTATCTTACCCTGAACCATTGAGCTGGATTTTCACACTTCTGTACTTGTCCACTATTGACCAAGGGATACTCCAAGGGAAGTGAGTTGGCAGGCATTTAATACTTGCTGCTGGAAAGACATAGGAGCTCCTGTAGGCTCCCAGCAGTTCTCCAAAAGAGCTAGGCTATCTAGTATTAGAGACTAAAGAGAATGAAGCTGGGAGTTGGGTATGGGGAAGGAGTGGCACATGAAAATGGCCAAAAGAAATCCAAAGAGAGGATTGCTGAGCAGGGAAACAATGGCATCATCTGCTACATTCAGTTTTCATTTTCAAAAGTATCCCAATTAGAGCTGGAACAGTTGTGTACACCTATAATCCCAGCAGCTCTTGGAACACTGAGGAAGGATGATCGCAAGTTCAAAGCTAGCCTCAGCAACTTAGCAGGACCCTGTCTCAAAATAAAGTATAAAAATGGCTAGGACTGTAGCTCAAGGGTTGAGTGCCCTTGGTATCAATTCCTAGTACTCAGAAAAATAAAAAATAAAAAGTATTGCAATTAGCTCAATGGTAGAGCACTTACCTAACACATGCAAGGACCTATTCAATCCCCAGAACTGCAAAAAAAAATCCAATTTGTGATATATTATATGATCACCTTAGTTACTTCATGGGATCCTGGAGGCATTAAGTAGAATGTTTTGATACATTGGTGTGGTGATATCAGGACCAGAATACCAAGCTGGATCTTAGATTCACTCTTCACATGCCATACTTCCTCAGAAGTGACAAGAATCCAGCTTTGGAAAAGGACAATAGGTTTGCATCCCCTTTTCTTTGTGACCTTGTCAAGTTGTTTCACTCTCTAAGTCTCAGTATTCTTTTGAAGAGCATTACAGAGTTGTTGCAAATATTTTAAATAATATGTATGAAGTGTGCTTAAAAAGACAAATGCTTCATCATAAAAACCACTCAGTTTCCTCCCTTGGCCAAGTTACCTCTTCTCAATAGACTGTACTTTCCTTATCCATAAATGAGTGGGACCAACCATGAACTTAACGTGTCCATTTCATTGATACCTTTGACTCCAATGAGTTGCAAGATTTCTAAACTAAATTAAGAACCTGGAGAGAACATTCTCAGGCAGGGAGAAAAGATGTTGTTGATAGTTACCTATATAAGTTTAAAAAATGAAGAATGCCTCATGTAGATGTAGTCCAGCAATTGGGGTTTAGAGCATCAAGATGCATTTACTCTGCACCTAATTAAAGATGTGACTGTGACACTCCAACTAAGGTCATGTTGTTCCTGAAGAAGTACGGTACAGAGTGGTAATCTTTACCCCAAAGATCCTTAAAGATGAGAAGCTGTGAAATGTGTGCTTTTCCTCCTTCCAAATACAAAGGCATCCAACAGAGACTGCCCTTAGAGTTAATTCTGAAAATATTTTTCATTGATTTGTTTATTTCCAAATCATGCATTTATTCAACATATAATACTCCATGCCAGATGCAATGTCAAACAAGAAACAAAGTTATAAACCTTTGGCAGGCAGTATGGCACAGGAGGGAAGGGGTGCATGAGAGTATTTGGAGAGGACATCAAACTTAAATTGGGAGAGCAGCGGCAATGGACACCAGAGGAACTACAGGATAAGTAGAAAGTTCAGGCAAAAAGTTCAAGAATACCAGGAAGCAGGGTGATACCACAGGTGACATCTATGCAACAATGCACATGGCATGAACCAGGGCAAGAGAGATGCAGATAAAGAGAATTAAGATTAAGAGCAGCTTAAAAGAAAAACTTGGCAGGACTTTGTGCCAGGGAAAGAGAAGGAAGATTAATGACCATATTTCTGACTTTGGCAGCTTGAAGATTCAGTGAGACAGAAAACCCAGGTATGGGTTGGAGAGTGGGGTAAGGTCATGAGTTCAGGCTAGGACCTGTTTGTTGAGGCCTGGGAATCATTTAGGTAGGAATGTCCTTGTGAATGGTTTGCTCCATAGGTGTGAAGGCCAGGAGAGAAATCTTGGTTGGAAATCTTGACCAAAATACACTGAGGCAGAAAAATGCTTTAGAAATGATTATCATGTGGAGTTTCTTTCTTACTACCTTTTGAATTTGAGGGTGTTTTTAATTGTCCTTGTGGGAAATTCCCAAAAATAAAAAAAAAAATAAAACCACCAAGGGCTCATTTTCAGAAGTAGTATTAAAGTTTAAGCTTTCAAACTGTTCCTTCTCAGAGTGTGATTCCTAGACGAGCTGAATTAACATCACATCTCCTAGGAATTTTCTAGAAATGCTGAATCTCAGACCTCACCCTAGAACTGAATCAGAATCTACATTTAACAAAGTCCCCTTGAGATTCAGGTGCCCATGGAAATCTGAGAAGTACTCTGATGAAGACAAAAGGGCAGATTTGAGACCCTCCTCATTTTATCACCTCCCATGATGCCACGTTTTAAAATGTTGAGGCGATGGAATTCCTTCCATGTTGTGTTTTCTATATTATTGCAGCAGCCGTCTACTCTTGTTTGATCATGCCTGGTGTTATGGTTGTTGATTTTAATGATATGTAATTTGTCTTTAACTGTCTTATTGCTGGAAAATACAATCTTCCATAACCAAAACTGAAGTAAATATATAGATGGTTATTTTTTTTGTGTGTCTTGAAATTTCTTACTGAATAAATGGTGGCTAATAGTTGCCTGGCAATTGATGTAAATAACAATGAATTCCACTCACTGACAATTATCAGGGCAACAAAAGTTAATTATTAGCTTCTCTTGAAAGCAGAACCATGCTTACTCATACAGAAGCAACATGAAAGACCAGTTGCCAGAAACTCTGTGAGAAGCCAACCACCCACCCTGACCCCATACTCTCTAAAATGCCTTGAAAATAAATCACTCGATGCCAATATTCTTGTGAGCCAGCTATCACAAGAAACACACCCTTATAGCCACCATGTAAGATCAGGAATGAATTTACATAAGGCTTGGTTTTCTACAGGTCATCTCACTTCTTTTAATTACCATCTGAATTTTTAATAATTTAAGATCTAAATCAGAACCACCATTTCCATAGAAGAAATTTGAAAACCCTTTTCAAGTACCTGGGTGAAAAGAAGAAACAAAGAAAACTCATGCATATCATTCCTAGGTTTTTGTTGTTATTTGATTTGTTCTTATTTTTGAGTTGGTAGAAATTTAGTAGAAAAGATGAGGAAAAAATAGAAACAGTACTTAGACCCAGTGTTGA